TTTCATCATGTAAATTTTGAGCCATATATGTGTGTTATATATTCAAAAATATAAATATAATTGTATAAAGAAAAAGGCTAACTTGATGTATTTGCTGTTAGGAAATAAATTTAAAATGTCCTCAATAATATAAGATGGTAAAGAGGATTGGGACCAAGAGGAAGTTAATCACCCCATTAGTTAATATACCACTCTCTGTAGTTTACCATTTGTTAATTCAAGCTGATAGGCATTTTACTAGATGGTTTTCTTCTCCAGCCAGCAAGACCTTTATTCTCCACAGCTCAAATCCCATTAATGCTAATCAGCACAATGATTAAGCACTTTGGGTTAAGTACTCTAGCTGACAATGACTCCTTTGGAAGAAAGGTTCCCACAGCACAGGTAAAGGCTATCATCAAACTCAGCTTTTCAGCACAGTACGTAGTGTCACAGATCTGCAAGTTAAGATGGTTTCAGTATTAATAGAAGCTTGCTTTTTTAACCTCACTTGACTTCATCCATTCAAAAGACACTTATGAGAGTCCCACTATAAGCCAGGGGCAGCATCTAATGCTGGGGGTAGGAGAGCAAGGAGAAACAAGAACTCAAAGATAGCCCTGGCCTGATAGCTTAGTTGGTGATAGCATCGCCCTGATACCCCACGGTTGCAGGTTTGATCCCTGGTCAGGGTACATACAAGAAACAACCAAAGAATGCATAAACAAGTGGAACAACAAATCGATGTTTCTCTCTCTCAAATCAGTGTGTTTTTTTAACACACACACACACACACACACACACACACACTCTCACAAAAGAACTCAAGAATAAGATATGGAGTTGGGGAGATGAGAAGAGATAAACCAAAGAACTTATATACTGTGGGGCCTTGACTTACGAGTGTCCCGACTAACGAGTTTTTTGAGATACCAGCTGTCTCTCCGCTGATTTTTTGCATTGAGTTGACAGAGTAATTTGAGTTAACGAGCTCCTTAACTCGGAACGAATTAAACTCGTAAGTCAAGGCCCCACTGTACTTATATGCATAGCTCATGGACATGGGCAATTGAGTAGTGAAGACCTGGGGGCAGGAATAGGGTATGGGGGTGGGGGGTAGATGGTGTTGGGGGGGAGGAAGAATGGGAGATATCTGTAATACTATCACAATAAAAAATATATTTTAAAAGTAAAATAAAAAAAAGATATGATTTCTGCCTACAAGAATCACAGTCTGCTGAGGAAAGCAGCCAATGAAAGAAATAATGACATTATGATGGTAATCCTACCCCTAAATCTATAACCAAGACTTGTATGCCTCACCACTAGGACTGGTCAGTTTTTTGTTTTAATTTTTTTTAATTGATTTCAGGGAGAAAGGGAGAGGGAGAGAGATAGAAACATCAACAGCGAGAGAGAATCATTGATCAGCAGCCTCCTGACGCCCCACACTGGAGACTGAGCCCACAATCTGGGCCTGTGCCCTGACTCGGAATCAAACTGTGACCACCTGGTTTATAGGTCCATGCTCAACCACTGAGCCGCCCCAGCTGGGCAGGACTGGTCAGTTTCTAACCTAGTTTCACTTTCCCACCTTCAGGCTGTAGCACAGCTGGGTTTCCAGCTGGCTGGGGAAGCAAAGATTCTTTAAATAAACAGCATTTTAAAAATATGCAGTCGCTTTTGAATTTTGTGGACCACCTTTCTCTAATATGTGAATCTAGGTGTCAAATTAATTAAAAACTACCCTAAAGAATGTGATATCCCCCAGGAATACATCTTTTCCATCTTCAACAACAAAGTACACTATACTTTGAAAGAAAACTTCATATCAGAAAGTCGCAAAGGAAGAATGAGGTTTTTTTTTGCTATCTACTATATCCTGCCAATAAGAAAACCGTTTAAAATCATATATATATATATATATATATATATATATATATATATATATATATATATGCAACTAGTTATAGTGTTGCAATCTTCTCAGAAATGCAAAGATTTTATTCAACCCTTTGTCACCAGAGGTAGTTCTTTTGGATGAATGACACACATTAGATCTGTAAAAATGCCCCTCTGACAATTACCAGGAGGACTGTACAGACTTCAAATCAACATTTCACAGTTGCAGTAAAATTAGCCATTGCTGAGGACCTTGTAGAAGGGGTCCAGTATGACCCCTCAGTGGATGCTACCAAGGCATGTGGCAACTGTTAAGCACAATATTTTCCTCTATACAGTATGCTATCCCAAAGTCCTAGCCCACCAAAACACAACTTTCTAGATCTCCCTAGGAACCACACCTTTCAGAACCTAGACACACTTAGAGCTGGAACTGGCTAAACAAAGTAACTATTCAACCACAGTTGCTCAATGTAACGGCCCTGATGACAGTCTCCAAATGCCAGTTTCCCTATTTTGCAATGGGTAAATGTGCTCCAAGGAGAAAAAGTTCCCAATGACCCTGAGGCCCAGAGGGCTTTCTTTAGAGATAGAAAACAGAAAATGAATTTGTTAGTTATTTCCTGCTGAGCACAAGGAAGATGTTGTTTCCTTATTTAATATACCATTACCAGTGCATGTTTTCTTTAACCACATAATAGAAAATAAGAAAATGCAGTTTATGCTCTTCTGGCATATTATCACCAGTTTTACAAGTTTCTTCTCACACACATGTCCTTTAATTTCTACTCCCTTTATATAACCCTCCGAAACTGACATGTATCTATGTACTATCAATTCAAAGCAAATATTTTTTGAGTTCTAAAATGTTTACCTCCACACCATTCCTGCTCCTTGATAATTTGTGATGTGTGAGGACCTTTTCTTTAGCAGTGATTGCAGTCCTAAATTTATCTTTTTAAGAACTGTACTACACATGCTATTTTAATCATGAGATGACCATAACCTAGAAGCAGACTATATTTCTGACCCCAAATCTTTCATGATCTCTATATTCAACTCTTAAACACTCGCTAAAACAAACAAGGTATGATGTGGGGGAACGGGGGACTGGAAATAGAGAAGCCAGTTACCCTATGGGGTTATCTGACAATTACCATCAGGTCTAAGTGGATGAGATTGGCAATGTGCTCTGTGCATATTCAGGAGCAACTCGCCGAAATCCAAAACAGAAGCTGTCCTTGGACAAGGTTCAATAAATGTTTTTACTATCTATTTCCCACTGCACAATACAGTTCCACGGCTCCCCAGGGGATCTCAGATAAAATACTTAGCAGAATAAAAAATTAAAAATTCTTAACTGGTCTCCACTTGTCATCATAAAACATTTTAGAACATAAAACCAACATTAAAGAGCAGTCAACAATATTCCACAAAACAATGTCAGAGACGGAAACTGCTATTATCACCAAATGTTTTTCCCTTCTAAGACACTGTAAGAAAAAGAAAGAAAGATAGATAGATAGATAAATAGATAGATAGATAGATAGATAGATAGATAGAAAGAACACTGCAAGATTCTTCTCATTAAAGTAAAGTAGGTATTCTCCCAAGCACTAAACTAAAATGTGTCTTTTGAAGGACGGGGATGGTGGTAATAGTGGGAGAGCCAGGAGTAGGAAAGCTTCCACAAGCAAAAGGCATTGATCTAGAAAGATGAAGGCAGCAAAACTTCCAATGAGCTGTTCCATATTCTTTGCAACTTACTCAAAGCCTTGTTACACTACCCAGAATCAGTAAACTGGGTAAGCATACCAACTTCTGTGGCAGTCCAGGACATCTATCACAATTCAGTGATTATATGCTCAGAGTCACACCACAAGCACCAAATTCAGCCTCAGACGGGACTAAGTGAAACCCCAACATGAATAAGCATAAGACAAGCTAACACCAAATACTTCAGTATGGGGACAATTTGGTTTAAATTTATCTTCCTGAGAAGTAAGTACTAGACTCAGGGACAAGAAGAAAAAATTCTTAAACTGACATTTCTTTCACTTTTGACATGGGAGACCTCCATCCCCAGCTACACAGATCTACAGATTTCTATGTTTTGTTTCTATCA